TCTTTTTGGGACAGGGTCTCCCTGTAGCCCCAGCTGGCCCGGAACTCACTTATGTAGACCAGGCTGGCCTTGAACTCACAGAGATCCGCCTGCCTCTGCCTCCCGAGTGCTGAGTGTAAAGGCGGTGCCACCACACCTGGCGCTTTCTATCCTTGTTTCTGTCTCTGTCTCTCTGCTGAGATAAAACCCAGTGCCTAACATGTGCTAGGCAGAGCTCTGCCACTGAGCTACATCTCTGTCCTCAGTCCTACCCTTGATTCTTTGTCTTTTCCTTTTTCTTTTTGAGACCAGTGTCTTGCTGTAGCCCTGACTGGCCTGGAACGCACTGTGTAGACCAGGCCGGCCTCAAATTGTAGTCATCTTGCCTCTGCTTTCCATAACTAGGATGTGCCACCACATCCAGCTTTTCCGCCTGTCCTTTCTGAGCCCCTGTGGAGCAGCCCCTCAGAGTCCTGGAGTGCCAGGGGTGAGGTGGGAAACAGTGGGATCCCACATGCAGGTGTTAGCACTGTGCTGAGTGCCCATTGTTCTTGGCTTTTGGTGTGAGTAGGCACAATCAGTGCTCACTTTCTGTAGCCTGTGTTGCTTTGGCTGGGACTCTTCCTGAGCTGGGGTCCCTCCCCATGCCTGCCTCACTGCCATGGGGAGGTGGCTCACTTGTTCTCCAGACGCTTCCCGGCCAGCAGGGGCAGCAGAAGGCAGCAGTTGTGGCCAGTGGCTTGCTGTGTGCCGACTCTCCTTGTGCCGCCAGCACCGCTGCTGGGCTCCTGTGCCCCTCACTACTGCACAGATGGCCCAGGAGAGGGCAGAGGGACCTGGACTAGTGACTTTGTACAGCTTGGAGCAGAGGACCAGCAAAACCCAGGGAGGGACTTGTCCAGACCTGTGATGACAAGTTGTCTTTTAGATTGTGCTCATGCTAGTCTTTGGGATTACGTTTTATTTTTGCAAAGAAAAGGTGACAGTAGATGGCTTATTTGTGGTGTCCCTTTTGCTTTTGTTTTTAACACACTCAGGGATAGAGTAAGAAGTTGGTGACACTCTTAGAGAAGGTATTATGGTCCGTGAAATTCACAAAAGAAGCTGTGGGAGGGGAGGACCTCAAAGTAGTCCTTGTGCCTCGGAGGGTCCCAGCTACCATCCTTGCTCCAGCCCTCTCCTCCCAGCAGCCAGCCAATGGGCACAGCCCAGTGTTCAGAAGCCCTGCCAGGAGGAGGAGCTGGGCCCTCTTAATTATTCACTGGCTCAGCTGAGCCAGCAGCTGGGGCCGGGCGCCTGCTGGCCGGGGAGTCACCTTCTTTATCCCCTCTGTGCCTGCCCGGGCCACAGACGGATATCTCTAGGGAGCCTGGGGCTTCCTGGGGCCAAGACTACTGCACCCTCCTGTGTACCCCCACCCTCAGCCACTTGTGCTCCTCAGTAGCCCCTGGTGACCTCATCTTCATGAAGCCAGGTTTTGGCAGCACTTGCTGTCATGTTTCAGCAAGGCCACCTTATGCCATCCCAGCCCTCTGCCTCAGCCTCTCTGAAACTAACTTTCCTCCTGTCCCCCATGAGGAAGAGCAGCATTCAGGGCCATTGTCACATTGGATAGCACTAGGGAGCAGGTTGCCAGGTGGTTGTGTCTGCTGGAGATGTACAGTGGGGGCTGCTGGTCAGCAAGTATCCCATGAATCCAAGCCCCTGCAGTAATACACAGCCCTCTCCAGAGAGATCTCCACGCAGGCAGAGCTGCTGCTCACCCTCCCAGCCACAGCCTTCCCTGGCCTCCCCTCCTGGTTCTTCCTCAGTGCCAGGATCTCCCGGAGGTTTCTCTTTCTTCTGTGTGTTCCCATAGGCACAGATGAGGTCTGCTTCCTGGCAGGGACCCTCTTCCATGGCTGCCTGGCCTCAGTTCCCTCTGTATGGAGTCTTCCTCCAGCCCTTCATTCTGGCCGGTGTTTCCAGGACACACCTGGAAGGAACATTCTAATCACCTCACAGAGTTGTGTTTGTGGATGGATGCCCAGCCTGATTTCCTCTTTGAATAACATTTGGTGTGTTGATGCCTCCCACACCTGTAGCCCCAGCTGGCCTGGAACTCTCGATGTAGACCAGGCTGGCCTCAAATTCACAGAGCTCTGCCTGCCTCAACCTCCTGAGCACTGGGATTAGAGGCGTGCGCCGCCATGGGGTTCCTTTTTTCCTTTTTTTTGGGGAGGGGTCTTTTTGAGACAGGGTCTCCCTGTAGCCCCAGCTGTCGTGGAACTCACTATGTAGACCAGGCTGGCCTCGAACTCACAGAGATCCGCCTGCCTCTGCCTCCTGAGTGCTGGGATTAAAGGCGTGTGCCACCATGCCTGGCCTTTTTTCCTTTCATTCAGTCTGGGACCCCATCTATAGCATGGCACCTCCTACAGTTGGGGTGGGTCTTCCCTGCTCAGAGGTGTTCCAGTGATCCTAAATGGGGTGTATTGACAATACAGATGAACCATCACATCGGTCATTTCTGTTTTCGTCTTTCACATTTCTGTGAGCTGTGCAAGGAGGAATTGGTCAGTGAGGAACTGCTCTAACACAGATCAGAGCTGGAATTTGTTTACTTGCTCCTCCTCACTGTATTCCCCTCACCTCCTTCATACTCAGGACAGTTGGGAAGAAAAGGGGACACCTTTGGGAGCACCAAGGGGTGCTATGCCTAGGGCTGTCATCCTGCAGCAATTGGAGTGTCCCTTCATGGTACAAACCAGGCCACTAGACACTGGTGTGGCCCTTCTGTTTTACCCACAGACCATTGAGAAGCTGGTAGCTCTTCTTGATACCCTGGACAGGTGGATTGATGAGACCCCTCCGGTGGACCAACCCTCCCGATTTGGGAACAAGGCCTACAGGACCTGGTATGCCAAACTCGACCAGGTGAGACCGCCACAGCACAGGCTGGGGCAGGGGCCAGTGGGAGGACTATGTGGCTCCAGACAGAGCAAGGCTTGCTGGTCAGAGCAGGCCTGTTAAGCTTTCCGGCTTAAAACTGCAGAGAATTTGTCAGAATGGCAATTCCTAAATTATGAATTCAGTTATCCTCTGTCCCAGCCACTTTCTGGGGACTGCTTCTGTGGTTACATAATCTCCTGCATGAGGCTGCTTATTAAGTCATTTTATTAGTAGCAGATTAGAAATGACCAGGGTACCCCTCTTGAGAGTTTCAGTTACCTGTCCCAGGCCCTCCATACTGTGGAGCTATAAAAAAAAACAACAGTATGCTATCTAGGGAACTTGATAGAAGGATTTTATAACTCATTGTCACCTGAAAGACTGTGGGGATGTGGGACATGCGCCTGCCCGGAACCCTAACAGGAGGGCTTGAGGCAGAAGGATCTCGAGTTCTAGGCCAAGGCTTCAACTTTACATCCACCGTCTTTTATTGCCTAAGAAATTTTTACATAACTCTGATTATACATGTATAAAGTATGTATATAAATCAGACGTTTACTGCTAAATCATAAGTTGATTTCCCACCAGTTATTGGTATACATATAACATCACTGCTAGAGAATATACCTCTGCATGCTTCTGGGATGTGTGCGCTTGTTTATACACAGAGAATCGATCCTGAGCACTTGAGCAGTAGGGTGGGGAGCGGTTCCGGTGTTTCTCAGAGTTGAATGACGTGGTGATTTTCTAGTCCTCAGTGCTGAGAACACTGCTTCACTTCTAGCATCTGGCAGTGATAGGAGTGTGTTGGGCACTGGAAATTCTGTCTTAATCTCAAGCTAGAATCTAGTCCACATTTCTTTTTGAAACTCAAGTCAGCAACTCAAATATCAATTTTAAAAATCAAACATTCTAGGGCTGGGTGTGATGGTGCATGCCTTTAATCCCAGCACTTGGGAGACAGAGGCAGGCCGATCTCTGTGAGTTCAAGGTCAGCCTGGTCTACATAGTGAGTTCCAGGACAGCTGGGGCTACAGGGAGACCCTGTCTCAAAAAGACCAAAAAAAAAAAAAAAAAAAAAAAAAAAAAAAATCAAATATTCTAAGACAGTACAGCCCAGAGACCCTAACTTGACTCCTGCTGCGGAATGGTGCCAGGGAGATGTTAGCGTTTGTTCTCAGCAGTTAGCATCTGTGCAGAGTAAGCAGGTCCCAGCTCAGTATAGGGTTTCAGGAGGACTCACTGGCATTGTCTGCATGGTGTGTGTGAGTGTGTTTGTTCAGAACGCAGGCTGCGCTGAAGTTGTACCACACAACTGATTCACAAGGTGCTTGATTTGGAACGGAGTTTTGGCTGTCACTCACGTAGTTGCCAAATGTCCTGCCACCCCCACATTCAGCTACCTCTGATCTACAGTGCTCTGAGCCAGCCTGGGATACATGGGACACTCTGTTGTAAAAAGCAGAAAACAAGCAGATGAAGTGTGCCTAAGGCCAGGGTGGCGATGTCCACAGTCAGGTGGGAAAGCCGGCTGTGCCCCTGGCCGGAGGGTGGAGCCGGCCTCCTTTTCCACACCAGGACTAGTGCACTGAGCTGTACCCCAGCCTGCACGCCTTTGAGGGCGGTGGAGAAGGGTGGAGCAAGGCCCCTGTGCACCCTTCTGTGTGCGTTTTAGTCATAGGAAGAAGTTCCCTTCAGAACACCTGGTGGAAACGCCACCCTAGGTCTTCTACGCAGAGGAGCAGGGCTGCCAGCTCTTCTTGGGACTCCACTGTGGAGCGCAGAGGTGGGGCCTAGCCCGCTGCTTCCCTGGGGCACAGGGCCTCCCATGGGTAGCCTGAGGCTGTCTCTGGCCTTCCTAGGCACTTGGTCTTATTTTTTCTAAAGACTTGTGTCAAGTTATAACTTAGAAGGAAGCTGATGATAACTTACAGCTTGATGGATCTTTTGCCATGTACCGGTCACCCACATCAAGCTATGGAACATTCTGGTTACCCGCAGAGCCCTCAAATTTTGCAGGAGAGATGATGTCCCACTGCGTTGACTGCCCCATTATTGCTTGGTTTGGATCTGTGTTCATGTGCAGCCGCTTTTACTCGATGTTTTGCCTGTCAGAGTCATCCTTGTTGCCACTTGCACTGGCATATCTTTTTCTTTGTTGTATAGTATTCCACTGTAGACACATACACAATTTATTCATTCTAGTTTGTGGACATTTTAGTTGTGTTTTTACATTTTGGCTACTATAAATAAAGCTGCTTGGAACATTCTTGCCTATGTCATGGCAAACTCCTGGCCCAGATTTGCTCTGGGAGTGGAAGAGACTTAGAGCAGCAACTATGGGGACAGTATTCCTGACCCCCCATCCCCAGTCTCTGTGGGCCTCCAGTTAGCTCCTAGATGGGAGACGTGATCTCCTGTGTTGCTCCTGGACCTCTGCCCTGTAGGGCAGAAGACCTAGGGTCTTCTGGTAGGAAGAGTAAGGCCTCTACCCCCTGTTCTGGCCAGTCAGAACAGGGAAGCAGGACAGCCTGGCAGCCTGGGTCTCAGGTGACGCTTACCTTGCATGCCTGCTCTCCCAGATGCCACCTAATCTGCTGCCACCACCATGACTTTTGTGTTTTCAGGAAGCGGAAAACCTGGTGGCCACAGTGGTCCCTGCCCACCTGGCAGCCGCTGTGCCTGAAGTGGCCGTGTACCTGAAGGAGGCCGTGGGGAACTCCACACGCATCGACTACGGCACAGGTACCACTGCTGGGCAGTCTGGGTGCTTTCGGTCCTGGTGCTTTCTTCACATTTCAGGGGTTGTGTTATTCTTGCCCCAGACGGTCTCGGGCCCGAGGAGCAGCGAGAGCTGAACAGCAGGGGTGTGTGTGTGTGCACGTGTCTGTCTGTGTGTGCTGCGTGTGTGTATACTAGGTGTAAGTGTGTGCATGCTAGATGTGAGTGTATATATTGGGTGTATGTCCTGTGCGTGTATGTGGTGGGTATAAGTTTACTGAGTGTGTGTATGCTGCATGTGAATGTATGCTGGGTATGTATGTATGCTAGGTGAATGTGTGTGCGAGGCGTGAGTATGTGTGTGTATTCTGGGTGTGTGTCCAGGTTTCTCTAGGCTGCAGCTCTGGCTGGTTCCATCAAGGAGCTGGTGGCAGTACCTGGGGGGTGTTGGGTCCAGCTCTTTTTTTGTCGTGTTTTACTTTCCTTCGGATCTGAGGACTGAACCCAGGGCCTTGCGCTTACTAGGCAGGCACTCTACCACTGAGCTAAATCCCCAATCCTGGGTCCAGCTCTTTTTAAAAAAATTAAAAAAATTTTTTTTATTATTTTAATTTTATGTGTACGAATGTATTGCCTGCATGTAGGTAAGTGCACCCATGTTGTGGAATGCCTGAAGAGGTCAGAAGAGGCTGTTGGATCCCTTGGGACTGGAGTAACGGACAGTTGTTAGCTGCCATATGGGGTGCTGGGATTCGAACCCGGGTCTTCTGCAAGAACACCCAGTGTTCTTAACCACTGAGCCATCTCTCCAGCCCTCTTTTTAAAAAATTTTGTTTATTTATTTATTTTGGGGTCTTTTTGAGACCGAGTCTCCCTGTAGCCCCAGCTGTCCTGGAACTCACTATGTAGACCAGGCTGGCCTTGAACTCTGCCTCCGGAGAGCTGGGATTAAAGGTGTGCGCTACCACGCCCGGCATTATTTATTATTTTATGTGTACGAGTGTATTGCCTACACGTGTGTAAGTGTACCCATGTTGTGCGATGCCTGAGGAGGTCAGGAGGTCAGAAGAAGGTGTGGGATCCCCTGGAACTAGATTTGTGGATGGTTGTTAGCTACCATGAGAGTGCTGGGAATTAAACTTGGGTCGTCTTGACCCCTGAGCCACGTCTCGAGCCCCGGTTCCGGCTCTTTATGAAAAGCTGCACAAACTCCTCATGGTGTCAGTCAGCTTTCATTGAGTACTTGCTGTCCCTTAGGAGGGGCTGTATCAGCAGGAGCTCCTGCTACCCTGGGGGGCGGGTTGGGAGGGTGGGGGCGGTGGCGACTTTCCCTCTGCCCCACCCTGTTCTCTGCTGATGAGGTCTTTGGCTTTCTAGTCCATTTTAGCCAAGCTGCTGTGGGAACCTTAGAGAGACTGTTCTCTAGGTGGGGATGCCTCTGTAGCCCAGGAGACCCCCATGGTGAGGGCTCCCTTTCCTTTCTGCCCTGAAGCAGGCAAATGGGAGGGTACGGCACTCTAGAGCCCTCCCTTGTCTTGGGGAAGTGGCCAGAGGGAGCCTGGGCCCAGAGCTGGCCCTGGGAGAACTTGGTTCTCTGCCCCTCTGCTGCTGGGAACCTGAGGCGGGAGAGCTCTGAGACCAACTAGGAAGATTGCAGGGCAGCAGAAGTTCCCAGGTGACCAGGAACCCCCGGGGAGGGGGTGCTGTTTTCACTTGAAAGCTTAGAGGTAAAAGTAACTGAGCTGGCGTGCTTCCAGGGCCTGGAGGGACCTCCATTCTGTAGACAAGGCCCGAAGCACTCTCCTGACCCTGCCCCAGGTGTTTTTATCACATAGTAAACCATGGGGCAAAGTCCAGCCAGCAGTTAACTGTAGCACTGACTATTCCTGTGTGACATGGTGGGAAGGAAGGCGGGGTGCCTTTTGGCCTTGTGTGCTGTCCATCTGTCCCCAGCTTAGAAACCTTCAGTGCTCCTGGATGCTCTCCTGTGCTTCCAGGACCTAGTCTGAGATTCTCACCATGGCCAGTAGGTCCCATTGACCAGTGGCTTTCTCTCCTGCTGTCTACTCTAGACATCCTGGTCACCTTCAGTCTTCAAACATGAAGGGCTTTATGTTTAAAATATTTATTTACTTTTACGTGTATGACTATTTTGCCCTGCATGTATGTAAACGCACTCATGTTGTGTGATTCCCACAGAGGTCAGAAGAGGGCAGCAGATCCTCTGGAACTACAGACACAGACCATTGTTAACTGTTAGTGTGGTGCTGGGAACCAAACGGGCAGGTCTTCTGCAAGAGCAGCCAGTGGTCATAATGTTCTGTTACCTCCTCAGCCTCACTAAGGGCTTTCTTGCTTGGGGGCCTTTGCACACACTGGTGCTTATGCTAGAATACATTTCCCGCCACCCTTTTTGCCTGGCCACTTCCCATTAATCTTTCTGTTCAGATGTTATTTTCTTGGGGGAAAATTTGAACCCTTAAATCAGGGTCCCCCTGGGGTATGCCTCTGTTACTTTTCTGTTGCTGTGATAAAATATCATGACCATGTCAACTTACAGAAGGAAGGTTTTATTTTGCCTTACGGTTCCAGAGGGAGAGTCCTTAATGGTAGGGAGGCCTGGCAAGAGGCAGCCAGAGCAGGAAGCTGAGAGCGCAGATCTTCAAGCACACACAGGAATCAGGAAGAGTGAACTGGAAGTGGGGTGAGCCTAGGCCTGTCAATGGTTCAGAGCTTATAGTTCTTGAAGGAGCCCGGTCCCTCTGGAAGAGCGCCAGGACAGCCCTCTTCCTCATTGGAACCCCAGAGGGGAGCTGGGCTCCGGGACAGAAGGCAGCCCGGTCCCTCTGGAAGAGCGCCAGCTCAGGCTCCTTCTCCTCCAGGCCATGAGGCCGCCTTTGCTGCTTTCCTCTGCTGTCTCTGCAAGATTGGGGCGCTCCGGGTAGACGACCAAGTGGCTATTGTCTTCAAGGTGTTCGATAGGTGAGTAGGGGAAGAATGGTCTGAGGGGGTGTGGGGTGGAGGGGGCTTGCAGCAGTGGGGTGCTGGAGGGGCTCCCGAGGCTCTCAGCCTGTTCTGATCCAGCTCTGGCTGTGGAAGTGTCTAAGACTTCTTCCTCTAAGACCAAAGCTTGAGGGAATGGCATGCAGTACCTAGAGGTTCACCACGCGGGGGCGCTGTGCTCAGGGCTTCACATAAAACTCAGTTCTTATAACCCGAGGGAGTAGCAGCTGTTTCTCTCCTGCAGAGGAGGAAACTGAAACAGTCTGCAGGCGACCTCTGCTGGGTAGCATCAGTATGCAGGGGCCGGCTCAGCTGCAGCAGGCCCAGGGCACATGTGTGCTGTCACCCAGGCACACAGTATAGCTCTGCAGGTGACTCAGACACACAGTCTGACCTGTGACCTCTGTAGTCTATACCCACTTTGCATTAGTACCCTGAGGTTAGAGAAAGGGCTCCTGCCCAAGGTCATACACGGTATCAGGGCTGCTGACCCTAAGCCCAGCTTCCCAGGCTTTGTCCCTTTACTTGGCCAAAAGACATTGGAGGGGAAAGAAAGCACGGTCCATTGGCTTAGAATTCCAGTTGATTCTTCCCTCGGGCTCTGGTCTGATGGAAACTGGCCCTTTGGCTGAAGGAGGCTTGTCCCACCTTTGAACTCTAACCTTTCTTCCCAACCCTCCTGTGCAGGTACCTCGAGGTTATGCGAAAACTCCAGAAAACTTACAGGATGGAGCCTGCGGGCAGCCAGGGAGTGTGGGGCCTGGATGACTTCCAGTTCTTGCCCTTCATCTGGGGCAGCTCGCAGCTCATAGGTACTAGAGACATGGACGCATCTCTGCCCTGCCCCACCTCACCCATTTTTTCCCCTTCCTCCTTCCCTTCCTCCTGCCCTGGTGTTCAGTGACAACTGCATTGGGTCAGCTACTGACAATGAGGCTGTTTGCTATCAGCCTGCTGGGAGCCAGTGTGACCAGCTGGAGGAGGTGGAGGCCAAAATGATGGAAAGCGATGTGGGCTGGAGCGACGTGGGCTGGAGCAGTGGCCTGTGCTTGACTCAAGTGGACTAGTGTGAAATGCACCAGCTCCTGGCAGCAGCTGCCAGGTTTTATGTTGAAAATGGGAGACTCTTGATTTTGTGACCAAGGCCGTCCACTGTTAACGGAGCCCTGTGCAAAGGGCCACCAGGGAGCTGCTGCCAAGTGCTGCTTCCTGTGCGGCTCATGGGCCTGCTCTTCCTGTGCGGCTCATGGGCCTGCTCTGTGATGCCCCGTGCTTTGAAACAGTTTTCCAGGCACAGTCAGCAGCTTGGGATCTACCAGTGGGTAGGGTCAGTGATCATCTTTATTTTGATGGAGAATGAACTGCCTACAGATTAGTACTCGGAATTGCCTGGTGGTTGAGGACCGACAGTCGTAGGCATTCTCCCAATCTTCTCAGTGACCCTGGAAAAATTAATGCCAGGCACCATGCTTAGTGTGACCCTTTTCCAGGGTCACTGACCACTGTGTTGTGTGGTCCTCAGCATCCTAAGGGGCGGGTACTGTTCCTAGCCTGCTGCCTAGGTGATGAGCCTTGGAGGGTTGACATCATTCACCCAGGATCATACCACAGTAGGAGCTGAGCTGGGTCTAGTTTACTAGGACTGAGTCCACATCACCTATGTGTAAAGGGGTGGTTTCTGCACAAGCACTGTACAGTCTGCTTTTTTAAAAATATTTTATTATTTTTATGTGTATGTATGTATTGCCTGCATGTAGGTAAGTGCACCCATGTCGTGCAGTGCCCACAG